GTTTGGAAGCCACGTTCTCCTTTTATGGAAGAAATTTAGTGAAGAGCTGACCATTTGATAAGATATTACTAAACACTTATTAAATTCCCAGAAGTAATCATATATGCCTTAAAGACATTTTTTGGAAGATCATTTGCCTGTATGTTTCCTTTTTTGTGTGGCATAAATAACGTATTAACCTGTTACAATTGACAACATTGGTTTTCTGTAGCTAGGAAGTCTCAAGTTGGCAGACTGCTTGACTTAATGGCTTGTCCTTTCTTGGCAGATGTGTAGAGTTGGCTGTTACCAAGGGAGAGGGCAGTAACTGGGCAGAAACTGTAGCCACACATTTGGGTCGATCACCTTGGCTTTCAAGCTGTTGGGGTGCTGTTCAGTGTGGGGTGATGGCATCATATCAGACCATGCGCTTATCAGCATTGTTTCTTTGGAGTCCGTGTATGGAATGTATTTTTCAAATATTGATATTTGCATTTTCTGTAACAATTCCTTATAATAAAATGAGGTAAAATTGTGCATTTAAAGTGGAAACTTTAATAAGACACTTGTAGTTACTTTTAATGCATAAGTACCAATAAGCATTAAAAACAAACACATTTTTAAAATTCCTGACATGTGAATAAATTCTTTAACAGTTACCCTCTAAGAAACTGAATTTCTAGCACTTTTCAGAAACACATTGTTGGAGGCAGTCAGAGAGTAGCTATTTTAGGCCTAATGACCAGCTGCCTGGATTTACTGTGCTCTTGGTCCAGCTTCAGCCCATGGCAATGTGTGTGGTCACAGCTGCAGCCTCTGTCGCCCAACCCCACTGACGTTCTCCAACGGACTGGAAATTCCCCCTGGCTCCATTACTGAGGAGCAGCAACTCAAGAGGATCCACGCGTGGCGAGGTTTCTGCTGGTCCTGAGCTGAGGGGAGGACTGACACTGGTTTGATGGAATACTAAGGAAGGGTTAGGTCTTGCATGTTAAAACCTAGTGACCTGCAGCACCCTGTAGGAAGTGTACAAATCTAATAGCTAATAGGGCCTCGCACTCCCTTGAATTAATGTTCTCCCTTTCTTTACCTGTCTCCCATTTTGCTTATCCTCATTTTGGACCACCTGTGGTGAGATACCTCATTCTCTGGTGGCTTTTCTGACAGTTAATAGGAACTGTTAAGTGCTCCCAAATAACCCTACTAGCCGCCCTTGAGGTGAACACTGGTCATACTATGTCATTATGTGAATACGAACAGGAACCAGGTACGCATCCACTTTCCCCCATTTTTGCCCAGCCAGGTCAGAGCACTGGCTTTCGTTCTGCTTTCTCATTGTTCGCGGACAATATTGGGCAAATGCCGTAAGTGCTGTGCCTTGGTGTCTGGACCTGTAAAAGGTAAGTGACCGAGGTCCTTCTTAGCTTACAGGCTGCCTGGAGGAAAGTGATCAGTAGTGTCCTTCCTCTTGGGCAAGTAGAGCTGGTGTGCACACCGGGAGTCCCCTGCAATGAGGGCTGGTGGGAGCAGTGTCTGCTGCGTACTTGCAGGAATCTGGGGGCTCTGGCAGTAAGAGGTGCTCTCGAGGGTGGGGGTTCAGCCCAGGGTGATTCTGAGGGACACTGCAGATCTCGGGACAGAGACAGGCCCCAGCCTGTCCGAGGACCTGTCAGATCACAGCTTGTCCCAGAGGTAAGCAAGCAAGGGATGGGGTGATGGTCTGATACGGCTCCCTTTGCTGCACGGTCATGCAGTGGCGAAGCTGTGACCTTAAAAGGCTGGGCTCTTCACTCTTAGCTTTGTGTTTATAGAAAACTGGAATCTCAATTCAAAGGCAGATATTACATTTCCTTCAGCATGTTGGGGGCAGTTGCCCCACCTGTGCTTTAACACTGCCCAGTGGCAGAGGGAGCGACTTGGTAAAATACTCATTCGGCTCTGCCACCCCATGACTGCTGTAACTGTTAGCAGGTGGGGGCAGATGGATGCCCCTTTTCTGGTCCATAAAATGAGGCCCTCTCTGGGCTGGCCTAGAGGTTAAATGAGAACAGATGAAGTTTCCTGCCCAGCATAGTTGCCCAACGTGTATTCGTTTTCTTCTCCATCTCCCTCTGCCAGCAGGTCTTAATTGCCTGAGCTGAACTTTCTGTGGCTTTCATCTGAGGGACTCCTTCCTCCTCCCTAAGTTTGCCCGGGACCACCTCTGGAGAGAGAAGGGAGAGGCATTTCCAGTAACCACCCACCTCCCATGGCTAAGCCCTTCGGACCATTAAAATGACAACCTGCTCTTGCGGAATCCTTTGAAGGTCCATTCTCCCCCCCCCCCCCCCACACACACCCACACACTATCCCTCTATTTCTACCATACTCTAAGCTCCTTGAGGCCAGGAACCTGGCTTTCCTCCCATCCTCCACTCCGTGGCACACTGGTGTTTGGCAAATATTTGTTGAATGACTTAAGGACAACCAGCACAGTGGCAGTGACTAGTTCCCAGTTAGCTTGGAGTTGAGATGTCTCAGGGGCTGAAAGGGATGCAGAGCAAGGAAGGTCTTAACCTCAGCTCTCTGCTCCTGCTCCAGGGAGGGCAGTGACATGCCAAACTGCGGGAGTGAAAACAGCACAGTCAGGACCCTGAGTCCGAGGCTCGGCTCCACGACTTTGTGCCTTTAGGAAGTTTTTGGACCTTGGCTGCCTCCTCTCCAAAATGAGCTAATGGCACACCTACCACGTGCTCCAGGAACTGTGGCTATAGGGGTACCGAACCCAGTAGCCTTGGTCCCTGTTCTCAGGCTGCAGTTCAGAGTGAGAGGCTGATAGGAAATCATGGTTATAGAACAGATTTGTTATCTGAGAAGTGAGCACATGGGAACTGTGTTGTGGGAACAGGTGCACCTAAATCCAACTGGTGGGCCAAGGTTTGAAGGCTCCCAAGAAGTGCTTTTGAGCTGAATTCTTAAGAGATAAGAGGGACAAATTGAGCGGAGAAGAGGTATCATTCCAGATGGAAGGCATTGTGGGCACATGCAGCGAGTGGAGGATGTAGGGTGTGGGGAGAGGCAGGGGGAGAAGATGAAGACTGGATGCCAGAAAGGAGGAGTTGAGGTGCCTATAGAATTGCTCGGGAACGGCATCTGGACTAGATCCAAGGCGTGAGAAGAGCTCGTGGGAAGGGGTTCATGGAGAGGCAGCTTTTAAGGAATGGGGCCATGGGACGGAGCAACACTAAAGTTACCTGCTGTTGATCAGGGAAGGGCAGGAGCCAGGCGAATGGGGGCCGAGGAGCGAAGACAGTGAGTACCTGCAGCTTTTTCAGAGGCTTATCTATGGCAGGAACAGATAAGGGCCACAGAAGAGTGCGCTCTGCCGGCCTTAGGCAGGGAGAGGTTAAAGGTACAGGAAGGGCAGGTGAGGAAGATCCTGGGGTGGGAAAATGAGTCAAGAGCAGAGTCCGGTGTAAGAAGCAGGTGTGGCCACAAGGGCAGTGAACCATGAGACTGCCCTTGTAGGGGAGGCAGCCTCCAGGTTCTAGTCAGTGAATCTGGAAAGCTATTTAGTGAGATTAATTATAAACGAAAGAAAGGAAGAATAGAGGATGTTTAAAATAACAGTTGAATCCAGCTGATGTGGCTCAGTGGTTGACCCATGAACCAAGAGGTCACTAGTTCAATTCCTGGTCAGGGCACATGCCCAGGTTTCGGACTCAATCCCCCGTAAGGGGCGTGCAGGAGGCAACTATCAATCTTAATTTCGCATCGATGTTTCTATCTCTCCATCTCAAATCAATTTAAACATATTTTTTTAAAAAAAGAGTTGAGGGGGTTGGGAAAGGAGTGGAGGTGAAGGCTCAGATGAGAAACCATGCCTAATAGCACCAGGCTTTATTGTCTCATCTAGGAGGTAGAAACACTCCTTGACCCTGTCTACTCAGAAGAATCCAGGAGTAATGGGTATGAACTATGTCAAGTGTAGATTACAGTGACCTTGGACACAACCTGTGGAGAGCGGCTACAGCATTTGGACAGGTTCAAGCCTGGGACTAATGAGGGCACGATCCTCTCGTGGCTTTGCCACGTGCAAGTCCCAGCACAATTATAGCCAAAGGCTATAGTTGTAAGCTTGAACCTATGGTCCGAACCTGTGGTCCCACGTGGCTAAGTGATATTGAGTAGATTCGAAACCCACAAGAATGTTGTAACCACGCCCTTACTTTGCCTCATGGAAACTGCCTATAAAATAGAGACTCTGTTTGCAGGCCGTGGTGCTGTCTCTCCATCAGAGAGGGCAGTGTCCCACCCAGACCCAGCTTTCTTCTCGTCTGTCTTTTCCTAATCCTTCACCGCCCCCTTAGACTCACCAAACCTGGCCGTGCTGGCGCAGCACACAACCCACTGGAAGAGCTCCGAGCCCGGATAGTGGCAAATTGAGGCTGTTTGTATTGGCATTTGCAGCCTTGCCCAAACGCTGATGTGCTAGCCCGTTATCTTGTTAGAGCTCTGAAACTACCTTTTGCCAAAAATGCAGAATTCTCCCTTTGAAAACACATCACACCTTATTTTAAGTTTTTGAAATAGAAACAATATCCTTGCTTTAAATTTAAAGAGGCATCTGGATTTGCTGCATCTATATAAGCAAAAGCTTTTCCAATTTCCAGAATTCGTCTACTCTTTTTTAATGTCACCTCTGACTGTATTGGCCCAGCTCATATCAACTCAATGCAGCTTTTGGTTGTAAATTAGGGAAGACTTATATATAAGGAAGGTTACAACCCTAGCTGATTTGGCTCAGTAGATAGAGCATCGGCCTGTGGACCAGAGGGTCCTGGGTTCGATTCCAGTCAAGGCATGTATCTTTGTTGCAGGCTCCTTCCCAGTCAGGGCTCATGCAGAAACCAGTCGATGTGTTTCTCTCACATCGATGTTATGATATTTCGTTCTTTCCCTCTCTCATCTACTCTCCTTAAAAATATCCTCGGTTGAGTATTAACAAAAAAGGAAAGAAAAAAGGTTATAAAAGTCAGGGGTAACAAGTTTAGCCATCGGGGATGGAAGAGAGTATGTTTTATTTATTTATTCATTCATTCATTCATTCATTCATTTTTGGTCTTTTCTGGATGTCTCCTCTTGTTTCCGAGTTGTAAGAGAGTGATGTAGTCCTCTTTGCCAGTGCCCCTGATGAGGCCAGCAGCCGATCTGGCAGCCTGAGAGTCCATGGGAAGGATTGGAGCTTACAGCCCGTTGCTTGTCTGTCCAGTTAGTTTTGAGTTGGTCATATTTGTGTTCATTAACATTCGAGGGCTCTGAAGGAGGATGGCAAGTAGATCTGAGGGAACAGTGGCAAAAACGGGCTGACCAGTACCAGGCGAGTTGCCGAGCTCTGGCCTTGGTCACCAGAATGGCGAGCCGCTGGTGAGGGTCATGGGCCACATTTGCCGAGGCCAGAGTCCTTCCAGGCCCCCTTGTTCGATGTCAGGAGTCATCCTAGTGCACATGAGTCAGGGCTCATTAGGCTTCTCTATGGGTTATCGACAGGTAGGGCACCAGCTTAGAGTGGGAAAGAGCATGTAATGGCCAGGGGTGGGCAGCCTGTATATTCCTCCAAGTTGGGGTGGTCCAAGTCCCCACGATCTCTGTGTGTAGGGTTGTCCGGTGCTGGGTCACTAGGGGGACCGGTTGTTCTCACACACACACAGTGGGGCTCCTTGGCACCTGGCTTGTACAGCTTCCTGGGGACACCAGTCCAGTCTCTGCTCACGCCTCCACTGAAGGTAGAAGGAGAGGGACTCAGAAGCATGAACTAGTGAGTCTGTCAGGGGTGGGGGTGGGGGTGAGGTTGGGGGTCGGGGAGGAGGAAGCAGTGAGCCATCTTGACGTTTTCCCAAGGTGGAGGTCTGCAGTGTTCAGCCCCTGAACCTTGTTCTCTCTCCTAACTTTCGTCAGCTTCCCCTGCCCAGGGCATCCTCCTGGCACTGCTCCCTGGCCCCGTCCCACCCTGTGCCTTCCTGGGAGGCAGCACTCCCTGCTTTGGCGGCAACACCAGTGAAAGGCTTTCTCCCATTGGCCTGTGAGCTCAAAAGCAGGATCTGGCTCTGATTCTCTCTTCCCTTCCCACTCCATCCTAGTGCCTTGATCTTAGAGTCTTGGGCACTTGGGTAAGGTGGACAACTGAGGCAACAACACAAGGCCTGGTGGTCAGCCTTCTCTGAGAGGCCATTTCCTGACCCTTGCCCGGGTGCAGTCCTTGATGTCACCTGGTCCAACATAGCTGAGCAACCTCCTGTCCTGGGCAAGGGGGAACCCACCTCATCTTAGGGTCCTGAGTACAGCCTCCCGTGGACTCACAAGACTTGCAGAGAAAAATGAGATTCTTGGAATTGATGCCCATGTAGGTTCAAGTGCCTGGGACCAGAATCACTTGCTGTCAGAGAAACTGCTGCCCAGTTAACTTACCCAAGAGCAAGGCCGTCAGGGAAGGGCACTGAAATGCCACCTCCTTCCTTCTAACCATCTATCCCATCGCCGTGACCCGTGCTCCACACCCAGTCCCTCCTCAGGACTCGCTACTCCCAGTCTCCAGGGAGGTATACACACGTGGAAAACAATGCATTGGGCTGGAGCTCAGGGATGGGGCCAAGTTCCTTGGAGTTGGTCTGGAAGAGCTTTGTGGGGCAGGCAGAGCCTAAGCAACTCAGGGAAGTAAGAGGGCGTTACACAAAGACAGACAAGGCTGTGAGGACGGAGGGGGAGGCAGGTTCTCCAAGGGAGCAAAGTCAAGCATCTAAATGCGCTCAAGCCTCAGGGCGCCTCCCATGCGGGACCAGTGCTCTCTGAAGCCACCTGCATTCAGGCTTGTGTTCCCGCAAGGCCCACCTTTGTCCCAGTTCCTCTCCCTAAAGCGAGGGCCCCTCTTTCTGGAGACATGATAACCCTGGAGGGGCTGCCTCTGCAAAACTGGTGGCTGGAGAGAAGGGGCTTTCCTTCCTGCTGCTCTGAATTACGGTGGAGGGAACATGTGACATACACGGTGGCTGGGCCTGGAGAAAGCTGCTGGCTTTGACACAAGGAATCAGCCTCAAGGAGAGCAAAGAGGTGTGCCTCTCCCCATAGAAGAGAGTGGATCTACACAACGGAGCACTCAAGGCGAGTGGCCGTTCTTGCAGAAGCCACAGCAGGTCTCCCTGACCCTCAGTGACCTGGGCTCTTACTTTGAGGGCCTCGAGACTGGGCGTTTGTCTAGTTCTGTCTCCTTGTCCCCTTATCAGAGCTAAAGGAGATTTGAGGGACCTGAACTGTATTTAAATCCAGGCTGGCCTGATCATTAAAGCAGGAAAACAATATTTTTTTTCTCTAGTTTCCCCAAACCAACCTGGAATATCCCCTGTGGCATCTATTCTAATCTGGCTCACTTCAATTCTTACAGGCAAGGACTTCTCATCTAGCGTACCTCCTGGAATTCCTCAGAATTTGCAGTTCTTAAGACGGCACCTCAGGGCATCAACGCAAGTGGTTATGTTCACCTCCTTATCCCTCCGTAAGGCAGGAATGATTTGTGCTGACAAATAGGAAATAAAGGCCCCTGGATGGATGAACAGGCCAAAGCAAGAAAACAGTGCTGTGACTTCTCATTCCCTGCCAGGGGTTCTTCAGCAGGGTCTTTGGGGAATTAAAAAAAGAAAGAAGAAAAAAAAAGATGGCCAGATCTCAATCCTAATATTCTCATCCAGTTGCCTGCAGTGAGGCCCCACCATTGGTAATTTTTTAAAATTGCCCAGAAGATTCTAACATGTAGTCAAAGTTGAGAATTACTATCCCAGGGCACATGGATTTTGAAAAAGTTCCCCTGGGTTAACAACTTACAGCCTCCCTGTACCACGGGATGAGCTAGGAGTTGGGTTTGGGAGGGGCAGAGGCAGCAGAAGGGAAGCCTGCTTACCTCGTTTGGGAACACCAGAACCTGCTGCCCCTGGCTGAGCTCCACTCCGTGTTACATGGTGGAAACTTCTTCTTCTCTTTCAGTTCCTGTTTGTCTGCCTCCAAGCCTTTGGCAATCATGGCTTCTACCTGGGTTAGTGCTGAGGTGGGGAGCCCATCCTTTCCATAGAACCTTCCAATCACCCTTCCTGTAGTGATAGGAGAGCTGCTGTCAGAACGGGGCGGGGGGGGGGGTGGTGATCAATAAATGTCTGACAAATAACTGGCCTTCTGTGTAACATTTTTGTGGCTTAATTCTTCCCAAAATTGAATTATTTTATCATATATAACTATAAATAAATTACTTATTAAGCAATTACTTAGTGGCAAGTGCTATGCTAAAGAATTATTTTATATATAACTATAAATAAATTACTTATTAACCCCTTCCCCAACAATTTTTTTGTTAAAAACGTTTCTTTTTCAGACTAATTTTTTTATTTTGGTTCTATATAGTATTTTTGATGCTGGTTATGAAAACAGTTTGTAACTCGTCTTCCTATAAACCATATTTTTTTTACCATATTTTCTTAGTATACTCGTCGACGACTGAAAAAGAACATTTTGTGAAAACGAGTATACACATTTCTGCCGGGGAAGGGGTTAAGCAATTACTTAGTGGCAAGTGCTATGCTAGCACATAACTACTATTTTCTTAATCCTCATAACCCTATGAGAAAGTAATCATTTTTCCCCTATTCACAGGAGAGACAGGGGAGGGGGGTGTCTATGAAACTAGTGAGTGGTTCTGAGCCCGCACATGCTCTCTTCCCTGCGCTGCCCCCCTCTCTCCCGTTCTCTTATTGCTCAGTCCTATGGACATATTGGGTGGAAATTGGTTTTAGTTTAAAATCTATGCCAGAATTTGTAACGGTCTAAGCTATGGCAGCACCCAGCAAGTGGTCGGAGAGCCTGCAGGCTAAAGCTACAAAGGGCTCAGGTCTCCTCAGGGGTAGGAACTTTCATCTTCAAGTCCTGAGTATAAGTGGCCATCACAGGGCAAGAGAAGCAGCAGAAAGCACTTCTAGAAGGTTTGACCAGGAGGACGAGGTAGCTGTGTATACTTGCCCAGCTGTGTCTGTCCAACCTCTCCAGGCCCTGAGCACTTAGATCCCAGAGCCACTTACATAGAGTGTTCCCATGATTCAGTTCTTCCTCTCAGGTTCAGCTCCCCATCCGGACTTTTCCAGTTGTATTCGTATTACTTTTGGCTTTTGTTATTTGGATTAGGAGCCTTGGGTCTCTCTGATACCCCTTCCTTCACACCCAAATGCATGTTCCATGTGCTCATGTCCAATCCATTAGCGACTCCCTAATTCTGTCCTTTTTCATTTCTACTACTACCACCCTAATCCAAACTCTGGATTACAATAGCCTCCCAACTGGTGTGTCTCCCTCAGCTCATCCCTTCCCAAAATTCTTTCTCCACAAAGCAGCTAGATGAGCATTTGAAAAAATGATTATCATGTCACCTTCATGCTAGGTTTAAACCCTGCAATGGTTTCCTAAGATACGCGGATAAAGTACAAACTTCTTACCAAAGCCTCCAACACTCTATAAGCATCTGGCTTCCCTTTGCCTTCTGAGCCTCTTCTCAAGCTGTGCCTCCCTCATTTCCTGCCGGCTCCTGCCCACTGGCCTCCTGCCTGGTCCTTGACCATGTTTAGCTGCCTTGACCTCAGCCTGAAAGGCTCTGTCCCGATCTCAGCATGGCTGCTCCTTCCCGCCTTCCAGGTCTCAGCTTATCTGTCATCTCCTCTAAGAGGCCTCCCTGACCGTCTTCTCTAAAGGGGCCACACCCTCCCAAACCTGCACTGCATTAGCCTTTTAGTTTATTCACAGTCCTATCTGGACTTGCTTGATCTGCTTACTTATTTATGATCTATCTCTTCCTACCATGAAGCCCCAGCACTCAAAACAGCTTAGTACAGAGCTTTCATTTTACATGCTTGTTCGATTAAATGAAGGGTACAGGGCCCTAGTCCCAGGCCTGCAGTCTATAGTTGGCCTGGCATAAGAATTTCTCCTTTTGTCCTAACCGGTTTGGCTCAGTGGATAGAGCAAGAATTTCTCCTATTCTCCTAACCGGTTTGGCTCAGTAGATAGCGTGTCGGCCTGCAGACTGAAGGGTCCCACAGGAGGCAGCTGATTGATGTTTCTCTCTCATCAATGTTTCTAACTCTCTATCCTCCCTCTCTGTAAAAAATAAAATATATTTAAAAAAAAAGAAAAAGAATTTCTCCTATTGAAGGTCTCTATGCATGGTGACAGGCTATCTTGTGGGTTTTAAGCATGAGACCCAAAGAGAGGGCAGCAGTAGTAGTAGAGGCAATAGAGAGAGTTGTAGTAGCTGCCTCATGAGAATGGTGGTCACCATTGGCTGGGTCTCTAAGCCAGTGCTATATCCAGAAAACAACAAAAGACATCTCATTTTCCCTGGAGGCCTGGCCATGTGGCTGCCAACATGGCTTTCTGGTTGTCTTCACCTCACTGTGCACCCATATATACACATTCACCCTCGGATGTGTCCTGAGGGTTTCTGATGCCCTGTAAGAGCCCAACACAACCCGCTCCTATAGAGTGAGCTAACAGGCAGGCACTGCACTCAGCTCATCCCTGGTCCCCACGAGGACCAGTACCAGAGCTTATGCATAGTAGATATTCAAACATATCTCGACTTAACGAAAACCCTTCTGAAGCACTTCCAACCATATGACCCCCACCCTCCTCACATACATTAACACTCTTCAAATAAGACTAGTTCACTCATCTCACCAAACACCAGTATGACACATTCGGTCTGGCATCCTTTGCCCACTCACGGGACTCCACCCTTACTCTTTTGTGTTGAATTTTCTTTTCCTATTAACCCAGTAATGTTTCAACCTTGGTTCAGCAACCTCGTGGGAAAAGGGAGAACCAGGCCTTTGGAAGGGCAGATGGATAGAGGCCAGTTCCTTCCGTGGCAGACATGCTGTGGTCTAAGGGATGAACTGGGGCAGCCTGGGTGAAAACAGAGAAGGGGTGCTACAGGTTGGGATGACAAAGGCCAACAGTGGTGGGTATGGAGGAGGGTGGGGATGAAAACAAAACCTTAGAAGTCACTAAAAAAGCCTTGGCAAGTTGGATGTGTAGGGAGCTGAGGAGTTGGTAAAAATGGCAAGGTTTTCAGAAAAGGTAACCCAAGTAGTAATGACAGAAGCATCACTCAGAGGCCTGGGGGTGGAGGAGGAACTTCCCATGTAGACCTGTTCCAAAGGTGAAAGGACGTTGACGTTCCTCAGGAAGTCAGCTGGGTCCAAGTGGGGCGCCAGTGAGAGGCTGGGGCTGCAGTCGATGGGAAAAAGGGGCTCCAACCACCCCAGTTTCTGTGACTAACATTTCTCTAGGTGTCTTCCCATTTAAAAGGCGAATTCCATCCTGCCTCACCAGTCAGCAGCAAGGGCAGTGCCCTACACAACTGGCTTTAACACATGTTTGATTGGCATAACTCCCCCCCGGGACACAATTCATTAAGGATGGACATAGGTTAATGTCTCTCTCCTTAGAGGACAAAGCAAAAGGATACCTGTCAGAACTGCACATGAACTTGGGCTTCAAACCTTCCTGCCTGCTGAAACCAGATGCCCGGAACGCCGTGAGACAAGAAAGCTGCCCTCCTGGAGCTGGCTGGTTAAGCGTGGTGCAGGCAACTGCTTAGGGGCAACAGAGGCCAAATCAAATGGGCAGGCAATACTTTCCCAAGATTAAAAGTGAGGGACCAGGTGCCCCAGCCATTTCCTTCTGGGACTCACTGCCACACTACCAACTAGAGTTTAAGGTGAAAAATCCATAGGTATTTTTCAGATTTTAACCTTGAGTCCAAGCCCCAAAGAATTCTAGTCCGTTAAAAAATTGCAAGAAAAAGAAATGAAATCTTTGGAAATGGCCTGTGGAATACCTACCAATAAATTCGTAATTCTTCTCATAGAACGATAGCCAATTTTGAAGTGTCAGCATCTCAGAAAATGACAAGTCAGATACATCATCCACAAGGCCTGCTTCAGAGTAGTCCCCAGTCACAAACGCTCTGGATGCGTCTCGGCCTGCAGCAGAGATGTTTCCAGTCGGTTAACTTATAAGTCGCTGACATCGTACCAACTCAAGTATCTATTTCCTGAGAAACACCTGAAAACCCCACTGTCCACCCCCAAATATAATCCCCCTCCTCTGTCACAGATGCTCGTGGACCTTGGACACACAGTTTGGCATTTATCACATTCTTGCATCTACTTTCAGCAACATTCAGTACAGCTGACATGTCCCTCGGCTCCCATGACACTACGCTCTGGTTTTCCTCCTACCTCTCTGGCGCATTTTCTACCAGCCTCTGAGATCAATCATTGTCCACTTCCTCTACTCCATCCACACCCTCCCCTTGACAATCTCCTCCACTCCCGTGGTTTCAGATACCACCTCTAAACCAAAAACTGCTAAATGTGTATCTTTAGCTCAAACTTCCCGAGCTCCAGACCTATATATTCCATTGTCTACTCAGTGTCCCTTACCTGTCATCACAAGTCAAAATGTTCACACTCAACTAATGGTCATCAGCACCCCAGCCCTGGGAAAATGCGTCTGTTCTAGTATTCCCATCTCAGTAAATATTAACCAGTTGCTCAATCCAGAAATGCAGCCCTTGACATCTCTTTCATCCCTCACATCCAATCAGTCCCCAAATCCCATAACCTAAATAGTTCTTATATCTACCTTTCTCCATCTCCCACTAAGCAAGCCCAGGCTGTCATCATTTTTCATCTGAACTACAATAAACCCCTAGCAGTTCTTTATACAGTCATTCTTTCCTTACTGATCGATTTTTCACACAACACTTAGAGTAGTTTAACCACAAATTGATCAAGTCATTCTCTTGCTTAAAAATTCTCAGTGACTTCCTTCTGCTCTATGGTATCAAAATTTCATAACATGCCATTCAGAACTCTGCACCAGCTGCCACCAACCTTGCCTTCCCTCTGTGCTCCCTGGCCTCTGGTCACAGCAGTGTGTGTTCCCTTTCACACTCATCACAAAAATAATTTATTAACTGTTTATGTGACAACTACTGAACTTTTGTCTTTTCTACTTGTCAGCAAATTTTATAAGGGAAACATGAAACTCCTCTAGTATTGATTACTCGGTGTCTGTTCTTTAGTACATTCTCAATAAGTACTGACTGAATGAAACCCAATTGATTTTCAAAAAGACTGTCAAGGCAATTCCAAGAGGGGAAGAATAGTCTTTTCAATAAGCGGTGCTTGAACAACTGAATAGCCACATGCAAAAGAATGAAATTAGATCCTTATACCATATGTAAAATGAACTCAAAAATAGATCAATGAGCTGAATATAGATTCATAGGAACTAAAAACTATAAAATTCTTAGAAGAAAACATAGGTGAAAGTCTTTGTGACTTTGGATTTAGCAATAGTTTCTCAGGACACCAAAAGCACAAGCAACTAAAGAAAAAAATTAGTTGAACTTGATCAAAATTAAAAATTTTTGTGCTTTATAGGACACTATCAAGAAAGTGAAAAGAGCCCTGACCAAGGGTGTGGCTCAGTCGTTTGTGTGTTGTCCTGTGCACCGCAAGGTCACTGGTTCGATTCCTGACTGTGGGTTCTGTCCTAGTTAAGGTACCTGGGATACTCAAGGGAGAAGGCAACCACTTGATGTTTCTCTCTTCCCTCTCCCTTCTCCTCTCTCTAAAATCAATTAAAAATATTTTTAAAAATATCAAGTTACCAAAAAAAAGGTAAAAAGACAACCTACAGAATGGGAGAAAATACATGGTGTCCCCCAAAAGTGTATACACACTTTTTTTTCTGATAGCTCAATTGATGTTTCTTTTCAGATTTAACCCATTGGAATGAATAACTATTCAAAGTGTGTATGTATTTTTGGGGACATCCTATATTTGCAAATCATTTATCAGCATCCAGTATATATAAAGAATTCTCACAACTCAAAAAGGCAACCCAATTAAAAAATGGACAAAGTGGGGGGAGTGGGGGGAGAAAAAAATGGACAAAGAACTTGAATAGATATTTCTCCAGGGAGGATATACAAATGATCAACAAGCAAATTAGTTATTAGGGAAATTCAAATAATCAAAACCACAATGAGATAGCACTTTCAACCCACTAAAATGACTATAATAAAAAAGACAACCATTCAGTGAGGAAGTGGAGAAACTGAAACTCTAATACACTGATGGGAATGCACAATAGTGTAGCCACTTTAGAAAACAATTTGGAAGTTTCTTAAAAAAAAAAGTTAGCCGAAACTGGTTTGGCTCAGTGGATAGAGCGCCGTCCTGAGTACTGAAAGGTCCCAGGTTCGATTCTGGTGAAGGGCATGTACCTGGGTTGCGGGCACATCCCTAGTGGGGGATGGGCAGGAGGCGGCTGATCGATGTTTCTCTCTCATCGATGTTTCTGACTATCTCTCTCCCTTCCTCTCTATAAAAAAATCAATAAAATATATTTTTTAAAAAAGTTAAACATAGAGGAGCCTGCAGGAGGCCGCAGATTAATGATTCCCTCATCGTTGATGTTCTCTTTCTCCCTCTCCCGCCTTCTCTCTGAATCAATAAAAACATATTTCTTTGGAAAAAGATTATTTAAATAGAGTTACCTGGCAATTCTACACTCAAGAGAACTGAAAACATGCCTACAAAAAAGCTTGCACATGAATGTTTTAGCAGCATTATTCATAATAGGTAAAAGTGAAAACAACCCAATTTCCAACAAATGATGAATAAACAAAAGTGGTATATCTATACAATGGAATATTATCCTATATAATAATCTTATATAATAGGCTATATGCAAATTGACCAAACAGTAGAACAACCAGTCACTATGATGTGCACTGACCACCAGGGGTCAGACGGTCAATGCAGGAGCTGTCCCCTGGTGGTCAGTATGCTCCCACAGGGGGAGTGCTGCTCAGTCAGAAGCCCTGAGCCAGGTTCACATCCCCTGAAGGCTCCCGGACTGTGAAAAGGGCCAGGGGACCCCCCCCCCCAGTGCACGAATTTCATGCACCAGGCCGCTAGTTTGACCATAAAGAGGAATGGAACTCTAGTGGGTTTGGCTCTGTAAATACAGTGTTGGCCTGCGGATGGAATGGTCAATTCCAGCCAAGGGCATGTACCTCGGTTTCAGACTCCTCCCTGGCCCTGGCCCTGGTAGGAGGCAACCAATCAACGTGTTTCTTTCACACTAATATTTCTCCCTGTCTTTCCCTCTCTCTAAAAATCAATGGAAAAATATCCTTGGCGAGGGGGAAAAAAAAAGGAATGGAGTATTGATACATACTAATATACCACAGACGAACCTTGGAAACATTGTGTTAAGTGAAAGAAGCCAGTCGCAAAAGCCACATATATGATTCCATTTATATGAAATGCCCAGAGACAGAAAGTGGATAGTGGTTGTCGAGGGTTGGGGGATGGAAGGGAATGGGGAGTGACTGCTATTGGATGTGGGGTTTTTTTTTGTAGGGGGTTTGATAAAAATGTTCTGGAATTAGCAATGTCTGCACAACTTTCTGACTACATTAGAAACCACTGAATTATACATGTTAAAGGGGTAGATTTCATGGTGTATGAATTATATCAAAAAAAGGTAATAAAAAGATTGACTGAACAAATGAATAGACGAACCTAATCTGCTTCTCTTCTAGCCTGTGTGGGCAGTGGGGAGCATGTTGTAATCTTTGGCACAAGGCAGGCTACATGTTAGTGGTCAATAAATGGACGCTGAATGAATAATGGCACCAAGGAACTCTGTAGACAGCAGAGCACACTGCAGAACAAACACCACCCCAGAAGCGGAGGGTTTTATGCTCACACTTGTGGATGTAGCCATGACAGCTGCTTCAGGGTGGGGCAGGATAGTGCACCCAAAAGTGCCCTCTCCTCGCAGGTAAACTAAAACCCCTGACTCCAGTCCCAGCTCCACTTCCCTGCTCAACTGTTTGAGGAGCTTGGCAACACCAACTGAACTTGATTCCCTTTATATGCTTCCTCTGTCTCCTAAGTTCTCCCTAGAAACAGGGAAGTGACTTGTATTTAAGTACCAGAGGCAGCTTCCCAGTTTCCCTAAGATAACGAAACAAGTGGAAAAATGTTCATTTAATATCAGCCTAGTCACTGGCCTTAAGCTTGCTCTGCATTCCCTCCCCCCCCCCCACTTTAAATCTGAGAGGTGGTCATTCCTTGGGGCTGGTAAGGCAACATCTAAAGGTAATAAGCTGGTGGTTTTCTCTAACTCAGTGATTCTCAACCTTGGCTGCACATTAGAATCACCTGGGAATCTTTTTAAAATCCTGATTTCTGGACCTCACTCATCCTCCGGAAATTCTGTTTCTTTGTTACTAAAGTTGTGGCCCCGCCCCATAACAAAGAAACAGAATTTCCGGAGGATGAGTGAGGCCCAGAAATCAGGATTTTAAAAAGATTCCCAGGTGATTCTAATGTGCAGCCAAGGTTGAGAACCACTGGTCTAAGCCGTTAGCTGTGAGGGCTTTAGGCAAGTCACATCCTTTAATCCCCTCAGCTGTAAAACAGGGTCAGCAGAGCAAACTTAAACCGACACGTGTTCTTTGAGGCATAACATACGCACAGCTGTGAGAACTGAAGGGCTGCAAAAGGCAGCCAGGCTCTTGCCCAGCGCTCTAACTTCAGACTCTTCTTTAAGGCAGGCAGACGAGTGCATCTGTGCCGAAGCAAGACCTACTCAAACCAAATGTACTACTTTTAGGGGAAAGGTGGATCCGGAGGAATTGAAGAGACGATTGGCATCAGCAGGGTCTCCTTCATTTCTGCGCCCCGAGAGCCACGCAGTGTGGCACAAAGCAGGTGCCCCTCCCGGGCTTCTGCCGGTGGGTAATGGGGCAGGAGGCACGCTTCTCCCCGAAAGTCAGGAAGAAGGACATGGAGACCAGAGGCCGCTAACTGCTGGCCGAGTCAGCGAGGTTGGGAGGGCCGAGCGGCAGAGCCCGGCCCCCACGCTGGCCTGATGAATATGGGGAGGAAAACAGCAGAT